AAATGCCCGGAACAATGGGCTAGTAACCCCTTTTTCCGTATAGCCTACTAAAAAAAAGAAGAAAACCGTCAAAGTGGGATGTTTGAATATGCATGGATGTTGCACAAATGATAACGAAGAGATGATTGTGGATGTTATGAATGAGAAGAAGCTGGATGTCCTGCCTTTAAGTGAAACAAAGCTGAAGGGGGCGGGAGAGTTTCAGTGTGGATTAGGTCAAGGGTTTCAAATAGAGTTAGAGCTAAAGAAGGAGTAGCAACAATGTTGAAGGATAAGTTATGGCAAGAAAAGAAGGAATATAAATGTATAAATTCAAGGATTATGTGGAGTAAAATAAGGGTTGGATGTGAAAAGTGGGTTATAGTAAGTGTTTATGCATCTGAAGAGAGAAATGTAGAGGAGAGAGAGAGGTTTTGGGAAATGTTGAGTGTGTGGAGAGTTTTGAACCAAGTGAGAGAGTACTTGTGGTTGGGGGTCTCAATGCTAAAGTGGGTAAAAATGTTGTGGAGTGAGTAGTAGGTAAATTTGGGGTGCCAGGGTTAAACGAATGTGGGGAACCTTTAATGAGCTATGTGTAGAAAGAGGTTTGGTAATAAGTAATACATATTTTATGAAAAAGAGGATAAATAAGAATACAAAGTATGACATAGCATGTAATGAAAGTAGTTTGTTAGATTATGCATTGGTGGGTAAAAGGTTGATGGGAAGACTTCAGGATGTACATGTTTATAGAGGGGGCTACAGTTAGAGGAAGAGGTAGATGGGACAAAAGGAAAATGGCAACAGCAAGTAAGAGAGAGGTGAAAGTGTATAAACTAAGGAGGAAGTTAGGATGAGATATAAGCAACTATTGGCAGAAAGGTGGGCTAGTGCAAGTATGGGTAATGGAGAGGGGTTAAGAGGGTTGGAATAGTTTTATAAATGAAGTATTAGAATGTGGGGCAGAAGTTTGTGGCTATAGAAGGGTGGGTGCAGGAGGAAAGAGGAGTAGCTGGTGGTATAATGAAGTAAAGGTTGTGATACAAGAGAAAACGATAGCTCATGAGAGGTTTTTATAAAGCAGAAGTGTTGTAAGAAGAGCAGAGAATATTGAGAGTAAAAGTAAGGTGAAGAGAGTGACAAGAGGGCGCAAAAGGAGAGCAGATGATAAAGTGGGAGAGGCACTGGGAAGAAATTTTGCTGAAAATAAGAAAAAAATTTGGAGTGAGATAAACAAGTTAAGAAATCCTAGAGAAGGAATGGATTTGTCAGTTAAAAACAGAGTAGAGGAGTAAGTAGATGAGGAGCTGGAGGTATTGAGTAGATGTCGATGATGAAAGGGAGGCGGTAATTTCATGCACTGATTAGGGAGGTATAACAACTTTTAGGATTAAAAAAGAGCAGGATGTGAGTGTGGGGGAGATGCGTGAGGCATTACATAGAATGAAAGGGGGTAAAGCAGCTGGAACTGGCGGGATCATGACAGAAATGTTAAAAGCAGGGGGGAATACTGTCTTGGAGTGGTTGATATTTTTGTTTAATAAATGTATGAAAAAGGGGAAGGTAGCTAGGGATTGGTAGAGAGCATATATAATTTCCTTTATGTAGTTTTAGAGTGGGTAGGGGATGTGTAGATCGTGTTTACATTGAAGCATATATGTGAACAGTATTTAGATAAAGGTAGGGAAGTTTTCATTGCATTTATGGATTTAGAAGAGGAATATGACAGAGTGGATAGGGGAGCAATGTGGCAGATGTTACAAGTATATGGAATAGGTAGTAGGTTACTAAATGCTGTAAAGAGTTTTTATGAGGATAGTGAGGCTCAGGTTAGGGTGTGTAGAAGAGAGGGAGACTACTTCCCGGTAAAAGTAGGTCTTAGACAGGGATGTGTAATGTTACCATGGTTATTTAATATATTTATGGATCGGGGTTGTGAAAGAAGTAAATGCTAGGGTGTTCGGGAGAGGGATGGGATTAAATTATGGGGAATCAAATACAAAATGGGAGTTGACAGTTACTTTTTGCTGATGATACTGTGCTTATGGGAGATTATAAAGAAAAGTTGCAAAGGTTAATGGACGAGTTTGGGAGTGTATGTAAAGATAGAAAGTTGAAAGTGAGCATAGATAAGAGTAAGGTGATGAGATTATCAAGAAAAATTGGATATCACATTGGAGAGAGGCAGTATGGAAGAAGTGAATGTTTTCAGATATTTGGGACTTGTCGTGTCAGCGGATGGGTTTATGAAGGATGAGGTTAATCATAGAATTGACGAAGGAAAAACGATGAGTTGTGTATTGAGATATATGTGGAAACAAAAAACTTTATCCTTGTAGGCAGAGAAGGAAATGTATGAAAGTATAGTGGTACCAACACTCTTATATGGGTCTGAAGCTTGGGTTGTAAATGCTGCAGCGAGGAGGCGGTTGGAGGCAGTGGAGATGTCCTGTCTAAGGGCAATGTGTGGTGTAAATATTATCCAGAAAATTCGGAGTGTGGAAATTAGGAGAAGGTGCGGAGTTAATAAAAGTATTAGTCAGAGGGCTGAAGAGGGGTTCTTGATGTGGTTTGGTCATTTAGAGAGAATGGATCAAAGTAGAATGACTTGGAGAGCATATAAATGTGTAGGGAAGGGAAGGAGGGGTATGGATCATCCTCGTAAAAGGTTGGAAGGAGGGGGTAAAGGAGGTTTTGTTGGCCAGGAGCTTGGACTTCCAACAAGTGTGAGTGAGTGTGTTAGATATAAGTGAATGGATACGAATGGTTTTTGGACATTGCAATCTGTTGGAGTGTGAGCAGGGTAATATTTAGTGAAGGGATTCAGGGAAACCGGATATTTTTATATAGCCGGACTTGAGTATTGGAAATGGGAAGTACAATGCCTGCACTTTAAAGGAGGGGTTTGGGATATTGGCAGTTTGGAGGGATATGTTGTGTATCTTTACGTATGCTTCTAAACTGTTGTATCTGAGCACCTCTGCAAAGACAGTGATTATGTGTGAGCGAAGTGAAAGTGTTGAATGATGATGAAAGCATTTTCTTTTTGGGGATTTTCTTTCTTTTTGGGTCACCCTGCCTCGGTGGGAGACGGCCGACTTGTTGAATATATATATATATATATATATATATATATATATATATATATTATATATATATATATATATATATATAATATATATATAATATTATATATATATATATGTATATATATATATACATATATATATATATATATATATATATATATATATATATATATATATATATATATAATATATATATATTATATATATATATATATATATATATATGTCGTGCCGAATAGGCAGAACTTGCGATCTTGGCTTAAATAGCAACGCTCATCTTGCCATATAGGACAAGCGAAAATTTGTGTATGCAATAATTTCGCCAAAATCATTCTGACCCTAACAAAAAAAATATATTTAGTTGGGTTAGGCTAAAATAAATTGTTCTTTTTATAATAAGGTTAGGTAAGTTTTCTAAGATTCGTTTGGAGCAAAATTAATTTTTTTTACATTAACATTAATGAAAAAAATATATCTTTAAACGTATAAGAGAAAATTTGAGAAAGAACTTAATTTTAAACGATTTCTTGCTAATTGACCAGTTTTACATATTCGACACGACATATATATATATATATATATATATAATATATATATATATATATATATATATATATATATATATATATATATATATATATATAAGGTGATGAGGATAAAAAAATTAGGTGACGAAAGTTTGGATATCAGATTGGAGGGAGAAAGTATGGAGGAGGTGAATGTATTCAAATATTTAGGAGTGGACTTGTCAGCAGATCGGTCTATGAAAGATGAGGTGAATCACAGAATTGATGAGGGGAAAAAGGTGAGTGGTGCACTTAGGAGTCTGTAGATACAAAAAGCTTTGTCCGTGAAAGCAAAGAGGGTAATGTATGAGAGTATAGTTATACCAACGCTTTTATATAGGTATGAAACATGGGTGGTGAATGTTGCATCAAGAAGGCTGGAGGCAGTGGGTATGTCATGTCATGTCTGATGGCAATGTGTTGTGTGAATATAATGCAGACAGTTCGTAGTTTGGAAGTTAGGACTGAGGACGGGTTGTTGAGATGGTTCTGACTTTTAGAGAAGATGGAACAAAACAGAATGATTTTGAGAGTGTATAAATCTGTAGTGGAGGGAAGACGGGGTATGGGTCGGCCTAGGAAATGTTGGAGGGAGGGGGTAAAGGAGGTGCGAGGTGCTTGGACTTCTAGCAAGCATGTGTGAGCGTGTTAGTTAAGAGCGAATGGAGACAAATGCTTTTTAGGATTTGACGTGCTGTTGGAGTGTGAGCAAAGTAGCATTTATGAAGGGATTCAGAGAAACCGGCAGGCCGTACCTGAGTCCTAGAGATGGGAAGTACAGTGTCTGCACTCTGAAGGAGGGGTGTTAATGTTGCAGTTTTATAAACTGTATTGCAAAGCACCTCTCTGGCAAGACAGTGATGGAGTGAATGATGATGAAAGTATTTCTTGTTTGGGCCACCCTGCCTTGGTGGGTAGACGGCTGATGTTTTAATATATCTAGGCTTTTCAGGTAACAGTCAACTCTTCTTCAGGAGCTTGCAATAATGGGAAGTAATGTAGAACAGTCCTTGTGTGTCTGTCAGTGCAGGCCGGTGTGTGTATCAGTCCTAGAACGATTGAAACACCTTCCTGGCCTGATAGACGCACCTACATAGCCTGATACACACACCTACAAAAACTAATAGTTAAACCTCCATGGCCTGATACACACACCAGTGTTGAATGCTAAAACGAAAGACCTCAAAATTCCTGGCGTAATTAATTCTAACTCTTCTCCTTTCTCCTCCTTTTCTTCTTCTTCTTCTTCTTCTTCTTCTTCTTCTTCTTCTTCTTCTTCTTCTTCTTCTTCTTATTATTATTATTATTATTATTATTATTATTATTATTATTATTATTATTATTATTATTATTATTTTTAATAGGTTACGCTGGTGCTAGTTTCCTGGGAGGTCTTGTCTACGAGGCCTGGGGGGCCCAGGAACTGTACCTCGGTACGGGTATCATGGCCGCCATAAGCTTCATCCTTCACCTGATTTACATCAGGTTCTGCCCATCAGGTGAGTCTTCACACAACCTGATAGACAGGTCTATAGATAGCAACAGGAGGTTGATAGATAAAAACAGGAGGTCGATAGATAAAACAAAAGTCTATCTTGCTTGCATCTTTGCAGGAAGGAAGGTTTGGGATGAGGAACTGGATGATGCAACTGTGGAGTGTTCAATGAAGCTGCAACACTCTCCAACAACAGCTGCAACAACAGCAACAGAGACAACGGCTGCAACAGTAGCAATAACAGAAGCAACAGATACACCAGCAGTTGCAGCAAGACCTGCAACAACAGCACTGAGAACAGCAGCAACAGAGACAGCAGTTGCAACACAAGCAACAGCGGCAGAATTCAACCCACTTCTGGGAGAGCAGAGGAGTGGGCAGAGAGAGTTGGACAAATATATTTGCTAGTGGGTTTTGAAAAGGACCAGCCTTGCATGGACTAGTAGGTCTCCTGCAGTGCTCCTCCATTCTCATGTTTCAGGTCGTTTACGAGTTGTTGACTATATACATTTTTTGGGTGTGTTACTTGGGCATCACTTTCCTGGAAAAATATTCTTTGCCTGATTATATATCCATCTCTTGCCTTCTATCCAGTCACTTCAGTGCAGCTTCAGTCATCAGTTTTACCCCTCTCTCAACAGCATGAGTGTTGGCCACTTGAGCACCTCCAGTGGAGTCGCAATAATTTTCAGAACCTGTTGATCTGAGAGAGAAGCAATGAAAGGGGGCTCAGTTTTGAGTTCTGTCTTCCAGTCAGTCATGGGATGATAGTTCTTTGCTTGTCACTTTAATTTGGGAATCACTACTTTTCTTGAGTTGACAACAGGAGCCACATTGTCATTCTCTTCATCTTCACTGTCATTCTCATCATCAGTGTAGATTAGCAAGTCTTCGCCAACAGCATCAACAGAATCTTCTCCATCCTCATCAGAGCTCTCAGTACTGTCTTTTGCTTGCTGATTCTCTTCTCTAATTTTTCTTATCATTGAGACAGCTTTCACTCTCACAATCATATCTTCATTAGCGCAGTTACCAAGAAACAGCTGATCTGTGTTAGCTAAGTACATAAGAACATAAGAACGAAATAACACTGCAGAAGGCCAACTGGCCCATGCGAGGCAGGTCCAAGTCTCCTACCGGCTTAAGCCAATGCACCCAACCTAGTCAGGTCAGGTCACATTGACTTAAGGGAGGAACACGGCAACCGACCTGGTAGCACAAGCTATCAGGTCTAACTCACACCCACCCACATCTACTCATGTATTTATCCAACCTATTTTTAAAGCTACACAACGTTCTGGCCTCTATAACGGTACTTGGGAGTTTGTTCCACTCATCCACAACTCTATTACCAAACCAGTACTTTCCTATATCCTTCCTGAATCTGAATTTTTCCAACTTAAAACCATTGCTGCGAGTCCTGTCTAGGCTAGATATTTTCAGCACACTATTTACATCCCCTTTATTTATTCCTGTCTTCCATTTATACACTCAATCATATCCCCCCTAATTCTACGTCTTTCTAGAGAGTGCAGTTTCAGGGCCCTTAGCCTATCCTCATAGGGAAGGTTTCTGATACATGGGATCAACTTTGTCATCCTCCTTTGTACATTTTCCAGAGAATTTATATCCATTCTGCAATACGGTGACCAAAACTGTGCAGCATAATCTAAATGAGGCCTAACCAAGGATGTATAGAGTTGAAGAACAACCTGAGGACTCCTATTATTTATGCTTCTTGATATGAAGCCAAGGATTCTATTAGCTTTATTGCGAACACTTATGCACTGTTGTCTTGGTTTCAGATTACTGCTAACCAGAACTCCTAAATATTTTTCACAATCCGTAATATTAAGATCTACATTATTTAGTTTATATGTGGCATGGTTATTGTCCTGTCCAACATTTAGAACTTTGCATTTGTCTATATTAAACTGCATCTGCCACTTCTCCGACCACTGCATCAGTCTATTCAAATCTTCCTGGAGTGCTCGAATGTCCTCGTCAGAATGAATTCGACGGCCTATCTTGGTGTCATCGGCAAACTGCCGATGTCGCTCTTTATGCCCTCATCTATGTCGTTTATGTAGATTGTGAACAGCAGGGGGCCCAACACTGACCCCTGTGGAACACCGCTCGTGACGCTTCCCCACTCTGATTTTCTCCCCATTTATGCAAACTCTCTGCTGCCTATTTGTCAACCATGCCTCTATCCAGGAAAAAATTTCTCCTCCTATTCCATGTGCTTTAATTTTCCTCAATAGTCTCTGATGTGGGACCCTGTCAAAAGCCTTACTGAAGTCCATATACACAATATCATATTCATTACCATGATCTACCTCCTCAAATACCTTAGTGAAAAAAGTTAATAAATTCGTAAGGCAGGAACGCCCCTTTGTAAAACCATGCTGAGATTCGTTGATTAATTTATGCTTTTCAAGGTGGCTACGAACTGCCTCGGCAATTATTGATTCCATAAATTTTCCCACTATGGAGGTTAGGCTTATTGGTCTATAGTTCGAAGCTAAGGACCTGTCACCTGTTTTGAAAATAGGTATCACATTTGCCATTTTCCACTTATCTGGCACCATGCCAGTTTTTAGTGATATGTTGAAAAGATTAGCCAAAGGTGTGCTAAGCTCCTCTTTACATTCCTTTAGAAACCCTTGCATACAGTTCATCAGGGCCTGGGGATTTGTTAGGTTTTAATTTATCTATTTGCCTAAGGACCATGTCACTTGTGACCCTAATAGTGCACAGTTTATTATCGTCCTGTTCTACATAATTTATCATTACTGGAATATCGCTGGTATCCTCCTGTGTAAAAACTGAGAGTAAGTATGTGTTAAAAATTCTACACATTTCCTTATCACTGTCAGTGAGCTGACCCGAGGAACTTTTGAGTGGGCCTATCTTGTCCCTGATCTTACTTCTGTATACCTGAAAGAATCCTTTTGGGTTAGTCTTCGATTCTCTTGCAACTTTAACCTCATAATCTCTTTTTGCTTTTCTAATTCCCTTTTTTATTTCTCTCTTTAAACTGAATATATCGATTTCTTAATTGCCCCTCTCCTCTTTTGATTTGCCTATATATGCCTCTCTTTTGACCAATCAGATATTTTAATCTATTGTTCATCCATTTAGGATCATTTTTGTTTGATCTGATTTCCCTATTTGGAACATAATTTGACTGAGCAGCTAGAACTATGCCCTGGAAAGCATCATATTGGCAACCATCACCACCTACCTGACCCTTAGTCAGGTCATTCCAGTTCAGCCCACCTAAGTAATTTTTCAGTCCTATGAAATCAGCCAAGCGAAAGTCAGGGACGGAGACTTGATTGCCATTATTAGGGGAATTCCATGATATATTAAAACTGAGTGATTTGTGATCACTTTCCCCAAGCTCATCATTAACCTCAAGATTATTAATTAGTGTTTCCCTACTGGCAAGAACCAAGTCAAGGAGGTTATTTCCCCTAGTTGGCTCTGTCACAAACTGTTTTAAAAAACAATCCTGGATCGTATCAAGAAAGTCACCTGACTCTAAATTTCCTGTCAAATTGCTCCAGTCAATCTGTCTATAGTTGAAATCTCCCATTAGCACAACATTTTCGTATGTAGATGCCTTACGAATTTCGTCCCATAGAAGTTTACTGCACTCCCTATCAAGATTTGGGGCTCTGTAAATCACACCCAAAATTAGTTTTTCTCGGCCCTCGAGAAGCTGTAACCAAACAGATTCAGTGGCTGACGCTTCTAATTTAATATCTTGTCTAGCACAACAATTTAAATTGTCTCTGACATACATGCTACTCCACCACCTTTCCTGTTGACCCTGTCAGTGTGGAATAATTTATAGCCTTGTATGTGACATTCAGAGGGCATCTTTCTATCTTTCAGATTGAGCCAGGTCTCTGTTATAGCAATAATATCTATGTTTCCTGCACTTGCAATTAATCTTAGCTCATCTATCTTATTTCTTACACTCCTGCTATTAGTATAGTAAACCTTAAGGGAGCTAGTCCCTTGCTGCCCTCTGCTGTCCCCCTTTGTTTGCTGACCTGATCTATTGTCTTTATTTATAACTTCATGCTGAATGCCTTTTATACATTTACTGTTTCCAACCCAAGTGTTGCAACCTGCTTGTTTCCCACACACACCCATACCTCTATCTTCCATCAGTTTAAAATCATAGGCATTTCACCAATGGCCTTCTCAATCGAGTCTGCAAGTGCTACCACCCCTGCCCCAGAGAGATGTATCCCATCCCTTGCATACATATCATGTTTGCCATAAAAGTTGTTCCAGTTGTCAATGAATGGGATTGCAAGTTCCTTGCAGTATCTGTCTAGCCAGCAATTTACACCAATTGCCCTAGACAACCATTCATTTCCTACTCCCCTTCTAGGCAAGATGCTACATATGATTGGGATCCCTCCCTTAGACTTAATGAAATCTATAGCTGACCTGTACTTATCTAGCAGCCCTTCTCTCCTACCCTTCCCAATATCATTTCCACCAGCACTGAGACAGATAATGGGCTTGTTCCCATTACCTGACATGATATTATCCAGCCTGTTGACAATGTCCCCAACACCAGCTCCAGGAAAGCACACTCTATCTCTCATCTTCTTATTCCTATTACAAAAAGCACGGTCAATATACCTTACCTGAGAGTCACCAACCACAAGAATGCGCTTACCTCCATTAGCAGGGGCAGTAGTACCCTTACCTTCACTGGCCACTGAAGTACAATCATCCTGAAGAACAGAGAAGCGATTTCCTACCTTCAGATCTTCACTCTTAACTTTCCTTACTCTGATGCGCCTCCCATTACTGTGAACCACTCGCCACTTGTAGCAGGTGCTGGGCTGCACCTCACTGCTGGTAGCCGTTGCTACCTCCCCAACTACAGCCTCCTCACAGCGAGAGACAGACTGCACCTCACTGCTAGAAGCCTCATTCCCCACAACTCCAGCCACCTCACACTCTCTCCCAGACCCATTGAGTGGACCTTCAGCCTCCTAATCTCCTCCTGGAGAAGCAAGACCTCCTCCTTCAACTCTCCAACCTCAATTTTTAAAACACTGCAGAAGCAAGCCATGCTTTGTAACCGTCCACACTAATCCCCAAAGCAGCTCAGGGTCTGTGACCTCACGTGACGACTGACCAATGACGACTGACCCAGCAATTTCATTGGACAGTCTTCTTTACTATCTTCTTTTCTTCACTGTTCAGATGTCTCATAAATTGATGACTGGAAAACGTTCTTTGGACCGTGTCTCACATTAGAATCACATTAGAGCACTGAACTTTAAAATTGTAATGACGACTCTTTTTCAGCTCCTGACTGGGTCTTAATGTTGTCACATACAGCCCAAGGATCCTACTCCTTAAAGTATTCCACCTTGATACACACGGTGGACCTGGTTCAAGAGCAGCCAAGTCATCATCAGCCACACCCATGATCACTCCATTGCAAATCCTATACAAGTATTTCTGGTCCCAGGACAGATCCTCTGTCACCTTGTCATTCAGATCAGGGAAATCAGTGAAACTGACTGGCTGGAAAGTAACAACTGGCATCTCAGACAGAGGATGCTTGATTTGCTCGACAATGGGAACTATCCAATGCTCAGGACCACTTGGCTTACCATCATAGTGGTAGAAAACAGCCCCGGGATGGCATCTCATTTCCATGAAACTAACAGATGAAATTATGGACAGGATGACCAAGCAACATTTCAAGATAAATGGCTCCATTGTCAGCTCCGCCATTTACGACATTTACGTTAGCTCCATAAATACCAACACATACAACAGGCTGCCGAGTTAGTTTCTGTTCCATCAGAAATGTATAGATAGTCTTGCAGTCTCTCTTCCACGGCCTGACTTGGGAGTCACATGAGTGAGATATTCAGTGTCGGGCTCCACCATAATGACGTAATGAACTTTCACCACTATCAATGGACTCCATTTTTTGGTCTTCTCATTTTTTGGTCTTCTCGTTTTTTGTTATTACACGAGTGGATGTCTTCTTACCATCAAAATGCAGTGATGTGATATTTTCCAAGTTTGTTAGCTCATTTTCTTGCCTCTCCATTTGGTATTTGTGTCTGGCATCTCGTAACTTCTGTGACCCAATAACTTGACTTTTGTCGTCCTTGGTGATAATGCCATAGTCCATTAAAGGTAGTGGTAGCAATGGCAGCTTCAGCATAATCACTGATCAAGTATCGGTCACATGGGGCTGCCAGTGTGGGGAGTCTTGTTCTGTTCTGCTGTGAGTTGCTGGCAGTCAGACCACTCAAGGCAGTCAGCATCAGTATCGACAGAAAGGCTATCTCTGGCATCTTTTGAATTATCATCAGAATCAGAAATTTCTCGAGCTGCTGGTTCACTGTGTCTTTCCTCCAGCTGCTTCCTGGCTCTGGCTGCATCCTGATCCTCTTTTACCGTCACTCTATCCCACATCCTCGTTACTGTCAGGTCAACTCAGCCAATTTTCATCTTATCGCCTCTCTGGTCAAGAAGGAACTGTACTTCACGTTTAGGAAATTTCACATCACAATTACAGTCCAGTTGGTATCCGTCACATTCCTTTAGTTTGCTCCCTACATCTTGACAGGAGGCAGCAGGACAGAAACAACTACATATATCAAACAACTCGTTCATTTCTTCCTGAAACCTAGCTTTTTTAGGGCATTTTTGTTATTCAGGTCTATTCCTCTACTGTATAATTTTCTCAATTTTCCCTCAATAGTTTTCCGGCTGAGAACAGGAATAGTCTTTCTGTCTCCAATTGATTTCTGCCATAGTTCAGAACAATCCTTAGCTGTTATCTTAATAATCACTGAAACATCAGTGATAACATTCATATCGCCAGCAGTTCCTTAACATATCGCCTATGGACTAAAGTTTGTTCATTGGAAGAACATTGGCATGGCCAAACAATACATGTTCTGTGGCTTTCCTCGTTGACATTGTAGCCATCTCAGTAGTGAAGTATATAAGTAATCAGAGTATCTGAAACGAG